TCATCGAAATGTCTTGCAATAGTGCTATGATTTGCTTTATCAAGCACTGCTGTATTTAACAAAAATTTTTGTTTCGCAATCGACTCATCATTATCCAAAATACCAATGATGACATTTGCCACATATCTTCCTGTTGCATCTGTGGTTTCGTCAATTGAGAGCCACAAGAAGCGACCGTTGATACATTTTCGTATGTGTTCTATGGTATTTTGGTAAAGTTCCTTAACATACTTTGTGCGAAGAGTAGTTTCAGATGGTACTTTGTACTCTGTGTATGACTCTAGGAACGATACTAATTTTTTGTTACGCATTTTATATAGAGGTATATCAGCTGAAATTAGTGCGCTACATAGATCTTCTGCAAATTGAATATCTTTTGATTTGGATGTGGAACATTCAGCAAAAAAAGGCTGAGTAGTTTTCTTCTCATTATTTTTTTTCTCTAATTCTATGTGTTTTAAACTTGCTAGATGCTGTTTTACCGAGAATATTTTTTCGGCTGACACAGATTTGTTGCACACTTTGCAAAAAAGTACCTTACCATCAGTTTTGAATACAGGATATTCACGCACATATTGGGATAACTTTCCTGAACTTTTCGAATGTCGATAATTTAATATTCTTAAAAGAATTGAATAACTTTATGGTAACTTTATATCAAATTGCAAAATAAAATTTTGAAAATATGCATTAAAAATATTCATTTATTTCCAAAAATGTTATATAATTTGAAAATATGCAATGTATGCTCGTATAGATAAAATAAGCAAAAATATGCTCTAACAAATACGGCTCAAAATTCATAGATTGATTTGAAACAAATTTCTATCTAGTCCATTTTATTCTGGAGGGTATGAAAAAAAATATACGTTTGCATATTTTTGGTTGCCCTATTAATCTGTAATACTATGGCAAAATTACCCTGCATCAAACAAGTACTTAAATAAGAGATATTACCTTATTATGGATATTATGTTGCAACTATATCATTAGGTTATTTCTAAAATCCTCCAATTCACAATTTTTAACACTGTCCAAATAGTATTTTATTAGATGCATAACCCAGCATAACCCGGAAGATTCTATTTGCACAAATCTTTTAATATCTTCACTTCTTAACTGGAATGACATATTTATGTTAGTGAGTAATAATGGGGAATATTAAAAACTGATTTTAAAAAAATTAACTTACGCGGTTTTAAAATCGTTGAATCCGTTTGAACAAGTTCATAATTTATAAGTTTATTGAAAAGTGGAGTTTTGAGCTTGATTATATTATAGGATCCATCCAAAGGTGTCACTCTTATTTTGCCATAACGGGAACAAATTTAAACAAAAAAAATTAATTTATAGGATAAAATCAAAAATATAAATATATTTGTTAGCGTATATTTTATTTACAAAACTATCGAAATCATTTACAATAAAGATAAAGTGAAACTTTATAAGTGCTCCTTAAACCAATGAGAGAAAACGAGAGCAGGATACGAAATAAAATACAATTGTAATCTCCTCATTTTTTTACACAAATAATAATAATACTTTAATATAATCACTAATTAATATAATCTAAAACATTTACCATCAAAATGATTATTAAAAATCGAAAGTTATTTCAATAATAGAAGTTAACTGTACAAGTTAAAATTATAGTAATTATTTTCAATTCACTGCTCCAACCCATATTTTTTTCTTTACATTACTAAGAACTATTCGAAAAAAATTTATATAATAAAACTAATAATATTGAAATAAATAAAAATAGGAAAACAAATCGGTCGTGATGTTCAATAAAAAATATCAATACATTTACTATCTTAATAATTGAAAAGTCGATGTGAAATAGAAAAAAGTAGCACTTACTTTCGTACGGTTAATTATTCGAAAAAAAGTATGTACAAATGAAAAAAATTAGGTGATGATAAGAGAACAACTTTAAATGCACTTTGGTATTTGGAACCTTGATCACAATTCACTTAGAACAATTTGTGTTATTTTTAAAAAGAATACAAAAATATGTAAACGAAACCAAAAAAATCTAAACAATAAAAAAAAACAAGTATACATAACTAAATCACAATGGTTTTCGAAAGAGATTACTTCGTTGTGAGACTTACTTAGTCTCTTTTATTAGTTTTCTTTATTATTTTAATTCTACCTAAAAAAAGGCTTTATAACTCTACATCTCTTTTCCTTTTTTTTTTTCTAAATCAGCGTTTTTAAAATCGTCTTTATTTATTTTTCATATTTTTACGTAACCTCTTTGTAAGGCACGCATCTAGAGCAATTAGTAATTTGTTTCTACGACTCAACAATCGATAGCCAAGGATAATCCAAAACATCTTCGGCTGAAAATCGAAGTTCCGGCGCTAATTGCAACATATTGGTAATTAATTCCTTGGCCATATCAGAGACTTCGTGCCAATATTCATCGGGAAAATCGTATTGTCCCGACAAAATTGAATCGAAAAGTTTCTCTTGATCGTTATCCTTACTTATAAACGGCGGATAACCCACGAGGAGAATATAAAGAATTACACCAGCCGCCCAAACATCTATTTTTAATCCATATCCTGATTCGGCGAGAATTTCCGGTGCTACATAGGTCGGTGTTCCGCAAACGGTATATAAAGGCTCGTTTACTTCACAAGCTAAACCGAAATCGCCCAATTTTAAAGTTCTTACTTTATTGTCACGGAAATCAACTAATAAATTTTCTGGTTTTACGTCTCGATGTACAACGTTTATATTATGCAAGTAGGCCAAAGCGGATGTTAGATGAGTAATCATTAAAGCCGATTGTTCTTCGGAAAATTTATGAACTTGTGTTATTGCATCAAATAAATCACCACCTAAAAAAATTTTTTTTTAAATTTTTAAACCTAACTAAAAGTTGCAAGAATTAGAATAAACTTAAACACGAGCTTTTCCAAGATAACATAAATATATCGTTAAGTGTATATCACTACAAAGCAGGGTTCGAATAAATAATGATTTTTAATTAAAATAAAATCATGATCTTTTTAAATTTTTAGATCAATTATTAGCGATTATTACTGTTTTTTGTTGTTTGTACGTGTTAGAAGATATATTTTTTATATTGAATATATTTTGATATATTTTTTACATGTCGCGACGAAGTCCTGAATAAAATTGTACTATAAGGCTACTAGGGCTAGTTCAACGGTTGAAAGAACACCATGCAAAGTGTAAGTTCAGGATCTTTGATGGAGAAGACCCCGCACCACGTAACATAGAAATAAATTTAGTTAAAGGTACATAGTATTTACTGCAACTTAAAAAGACATAAATTAATACAAAAAAGGGTGCCACCCAAAAAAGAGGGTTCCAATTTTTTGGGTTCCATTACTAAATATACAGGGTGTCCCGCAACGATTGTACAAAACTGCATCAGCGTATTCTATGATCAAAAATAAACAAAAAAAGCCTAATAAACATAGGTCCGAAAATGGACCATTTTCGAGATATTCAAAGATTTAGTTTCATAAGTTGATATTGTTAACATCATGAATTTAAATTTGTTTTTATAATAATTAAGTCGTTACTATGATTACGATAGGTTGTCTAATCAAAAAAAAAATAATAATACTTCACGAAATTATTATTTTACTATTTAATTTAATAAAACTATTAAGTATGGCTCCTATTAATTACTCCAAGGAAGAGATGGCGGATATGGTGTATTCTTACGGACTAGCTGATGGAAATGCGTCGTTAGCAGCTCGTCATTACGCGCAAAGGTTCCCGAACAGACGATTGCCTAATAGTCACACCTGTAGCAGACTATTTCCCAGATTAAAAGAAACGGGGGGCCATTCCACGGAGAGACATTACACAAGGCCGGTGGAATTAGAAGAAGCAGTTTTGAGGAGAGTCGATGAACCAGCATTAGAAGAATTTCTGCACAAGAAAACATTAACAAAACAACCGTTCACCGCATTTTAAGGGAGCAGTTGCTTTATCCTTATCATTACAACACCGTTCAAGCTCTAACAGAAAATGATGGCGAAAAAAGAGAGATTTTTTGTAGGTAGGCCATACAGGAAGAGGTAGTAAACGTCGACTTTCCCATAAACATTGTATTTACGGATGAAGCAACATTTACTCAAAGCGGAATTTTTAATATTCATAATGCGCACGTTTGGAGCGATGAAAATCCCCATGTAATACTAGAAACTCATCATCAGTGGCGATTGAGTGTTAATGTATGGACTGGAGTTATAGGTGATCAGTTATTAGGTCCATTTTTTCTTCCAAAGAGATTGACAGCCGATGCCTACATACATTTTTTACAAAATGACCTTACAGAGGCATTTGATGAATTACCTCAACAAATTCTAGAAGATTGCTACTTTATGCAAGATGGAGCACCAGCACATTATGCACGCGCTACTCGAGCATACTTAAATAACAGATTTGGCAATAAGTGGATTGGCCACCTCGTTCACCAGATTTAAATCCGTTAGATTTTTGGTTTTGGGGACATTTAAAACAAATTGTTTATTCTGAAGACGTTCAAAATGTGCAGGATTTGAAGAATAAAATTAGTAACGCATTTGACACAGTAAAACAAATTCCTGGTATCTTTGAACGCATTAGAAGTTCATTTAGAAAACGTATCCGTTTGTGTTTAGAAGTAAATGGTGCACATATTGAACATTTATTACGACATGAATCTTTTCCAATTTGTTAAATATTCGTTGTTTTTATGCTGGTTGAACGATTTTCTTCGACAATCTTTGTTACTTGTTTTGTTAAATTATTAATGAACTGTATTAATTAACTTAATATTATCTTATTATTTATTAAACTTTATCTTAACCATCGTAACCATGGTAATCATATAATTACTGCATCTAAATCGTTAGAATTAATGATGTTTACAATAGGTCAGCTTATGAAACTGAAACTTTGAATATCTCGAAATTGGTCCATTTTCGTACCTATGTTTATTAGACTTTTCTTGTGTTTTCGATCAGAGAATACGCTGATGCAGTATTGTACAATCGTTGCGGGACACCTGTATATAGCCTAAAATATTTTTAAGATAAACAAATTGCAAGAGCTGTATTTGTAACAAACAGCAGCATTAGATGTATGGACTTGTTTGGAATTGTTAAGACCCCTTCTGGCAAAACAATTTCTACGACACTTTTGGAACAAATTTATGAAGAAGAGAAAACTAAATATTGTGGAAGTCTTTCTGGGTGCGGCAAAAATATCTATTGATGGTTGGTCTAAAGTACGCAATGAACCTATAGTATGCGCCAGCATAACCACTGAAACTGGACACTCTTTTTTATATGAAACTATAGATACATTTGGAAATCCCCATACAAGTGACTAATATTGCTTGCAATATAATTTCCTTGTATAAATCAAAATATAACTGTAAGATCATTTGTAACAGATAATACTGCTAATATGGTACTAATGAGAAGAACCATACAAGAAAAATTGGACCCCAGCGTTTCAGTGATAACTTATGGATGTTTAGCTCAACCTACTTTGCTAAGATTTAGAAGTAACAAATATCAAAGAGCACAAATTATAAAATATTTCAGAAATAACCAATTATCTAGGGCCAAATACAGACAGCTTGATGAAAAAGCGTTAGTACTGCCAAGTGATGTGAGATGGAACAGTATGGCATAGGAATAGATTGTTTGGAAGTATATATTCCAATGGGAGAAATTATTAAAAGTGTGTGACAAGAATAAAACACATTGCTGTAAAAACACAATTTTTATGTGCAGTTTGTTCATCAGCTTCTGTTGAGAGACGAAACAAGTTAGGTTTCAACACCTAAGTAGGAAAATTTATTTTCTTATGTAAATAAACCGCGCATTCAATTTGAAATGTTCAAAAAAGATTGGGCTACCGTTTGATTCCAGTTAACACCCTCTGCTGTAGCATCTGCACCCCACAGGGTATTACAAATTTCGAGAAAAAATGTATTCTAATGTATTCTATCGCGGGGTTATTACAGAAGAATCAGCCTTTCGATCAAAAAAAGAATCATCAAAATCGAATGAGTGGTTCGCGAGAAACCCAGCTTTGAAATTGTGGCAAAATTTTAGTGGCCGTTTTTTTTTGCTTATTTTTTTGATTTAAATCAGTCGAACCCTGATACAAAGAGACTTGGGAGTACTTTCAAGGTACTCTTTCAAGGTGGCCTACGACTGTTAAAGGTTTCTTTCTGGGTTCTATTTGAGAAATTCTTGGAATACTTTCAAAGTTTCCTATGATATCCATAAATTAATTGAAATTTTCGAATATTTATAAGAATTTCTGGGATTTATTCTAACTTACCTTGAACATACTCACAAACAAGATACAAAATAGGTTTTGTATCTTCTTCATCTATGAGTTTCATAATATTAGGGTGATTTAATTTTCTGAGAATTCTCACTTCATTTTCAACCATATCTACCTGAATTAACATGGTAATAATTGAAAAGATTAGATAATCCAGTGTTAATTAATTATCGTCATCATTGCAAGTATGCAACCAATATCACAGTATTGGTTTTGCAATACGCGATTTGCGTATTTGGTTGCATACTTAAGGGTACGATAATTAATTAACAGTGTATAAAGCAAATAATTACTTTTCCTTGACATTTTGATTTATCAATCATTTTTAGAGCGTATTCGAAATTAGTTTCTTTTTCAAGACATAATTTAACGATTGCAAAATTGCCTTCCCCGATCATTTTTCCGCACGTATATTTTTGTGCTAAATAATCCGGCAAAGACACCCCATCTTTATTTAATTTTAAAAATAAATTTTCTTCTGAAATGTATGTTCTGTTTTTAGTTTTATTAGGCATTTTCGGTTTAGGACCACCCCTAAAAAGAAAAGTAAACGTTTTGGGATAAAATAATTTTTTTTAAATTCATCTCTCTAACCCGTTTCGTAATCCTGGAGTTTTTTTGTGTTGGTGTATTGCTTTGCTTTCTTCAAATTCAAGTTCAAAATCATCTGGGAGCACCCTTTCGTTTCCGTAGACGAAGAAAACATCGCCGGTATCGAAAAATTGAACTAAACTTGTAACAGGTCGGCCAGATAATGTAAAGACTTTTCTTACGGCCCCTGAATCTAATGACGCTGACTCTGTAAGTGCACTTAGCACCTGTTCAATACTAGCGGAGTTTCGTTTATTCAATAACAGTCTAATCACTTTTCTGGGTTTAATACCATTTCGAATTAGTGTAATTATTTTAGGTCGGACGTAATCTGGAGGGATGATTTTCTGGGTTGCTGTTTGGGGAATTAAGCGACTTGTTGAGGTGCGTTTCGGTTTGTTTTGATCGATTTTACAATATTCTAACTTCTTAAATTGTTCGTTTTTACCACCACATACATAATCTTTACCATCTTCAAGTTCATCAATTGTAGAAACCTAATTATTAATTATTTAGTTAATATGATAAAATTAATTTGTTTAACTCACTTTTTTTCCTTCTACCGTATAGATGCTCCTAACTCCACTAGGTAAGGTAACACTTCTACTTAAAATAGCAGTTAATTCAGTCATCAGACTCTCAAACGATCGGTATCGATCAGGACCCACCGGAACAATTACCCCACCAAAAAATTTATTGCCGTTATGATAAAATTTTATTCGTCTTGCTTTTTGGGTACGAGATGAAGTTGAAGAGGGTCTTTTATCGTTTGAAATTGATAAGCCTCCAATTCCATTATTAAGGCTATCATCAGCATCTGAGGGGCAACTGTTACAACTAGCGGAGGACACGCTTCTACTACCGTTAATATTGTTTTTGGACATTATTTGTTTTGAACGGTAATGGGTTTTAATTCGAGAAGGCTTCGAGGATGGAGATATCAGCAAAACATCACAGAGACCGGCTAGGGCACCTATCGCGTTTCCCTATGCGAATTATTTTGAAGTTTATTTCAGAATCGATTAAACTTTACACAACGGAAACGCGGCGTTTATTACTCATTTATTTACCTTTTAAGTATATATGTAGCGTGTGCAGAAAGACTTTTTAACCTCTTTTTGCGGTTGTAGGAGGGAGTGCTCATTAAGTTATTTGACAGACAGTGTTGTCAACTGTTACATAAAAATATTTATGTTTTCCCCTGGATTAACATAAAAAGAATTAATTTAACTTTATATAATTAATAAAATTTGTTAATTAAGTAATAATTAATTGGTTAAGTAAATAAATTTAAATTGGATTAATTTTATTTCCGTTTCCTAGGGAATTTATTTTTTCAAGATTTATACCCTATATAACATAGGTAACTTCCGTCCTAAATGGGTGTTGTACATTAATTTCCTTAATTTTCCTTACTAATTCGCGTATATTCCCCGATAATTTATTATATCTACAAAAAAGGAATTAAAAATAATGTTGAGTAAAACAACATAACCTCACTTTGTGTAATCTTCACTTTTTAAGAACTTTTACTTCATGTAGGTTATAAATTACCCACTTTCCAGGATTATCAACCTTTTTTTAAAGTTTCTGTTCGTGGTATTTTAATTTTCGAACCATTTTTATTATTTAAGTTAAACGAAAAAGGAAAAAAGTAAGGTTATGTTTAGATTGTCAAAATTGCCAACATGAATTTTTAAATTGTTATAAAAAAAATATGTAAAAAAATATAGAAATATGATTAAAGTTGCTTAAATAGATAATAACCTTTATTTCTTATTTTTAATTTGGTTTAAAATTTTAATTTGATGTGTAGTTGAAGTTTTCATTAATAGATGGAGGAATTTTATCAACTGTTACATAAAAATATTTATGTTTTCCTCTGGATTAACATAAAAAGAATAAATTAAACGTTACATAATTAATAAACATTATTAATTAAGTAATAATTAATTGGTTAAGTAAATAAATTGAAATTGGATTATTTTTATTTTCGCCTCCTAGGGAATTTATTTTTTCAAGATTATTCCCTAGAAGTAATAGTTTACATCAAAGAAGTGTCAGGTGTCTATATTTGTGCTATTTTTTATGATATAATGGCTGATCCGTTAAGTTTATTGAGACAATACAATGTTAATAAAAAGGAAATTATCGAAAGAGATGGACAGATCATTTTTGGAGAGTTCTCGTGGCCCAAAACTGTAAAAACTAACTACACAACATACGGGTAGGTTTGATTTGATACCATAAGCTTAGCCATTTTTAACACGATTAAAACAACATTTTCACTATTAAATGTAGTTCAGGGAAGGATGGAGCAGCCAAAGAATACTACACATTAGAATGCTTACTGTTTATATTGAAAAATGTTGCATTGACTCATCCAGTTTATGTCAGACAAGCTGCTGTAAGTTTCTTTAAAATCGTATTTTTTATTTTAATTTGAATCAATTTAATATTAGGCAGAAACAATCCCGGTTGTGAGAAGACCGGATCGAAAAGAATTATTAGCATATTTAAATGGTGAAACAGCCAGTTGTTCAGCTATAGATAAAGGGGCCCCTTTAGAACTTCCCACACAAGTAAAAAGATCTCTCGAATATGATGGTTCTGAAAACATTACAAAAAAACCTCGTTTTGAGGATACACACGTACAAAAAGTTAGGGAGCAATTGGCCGCTCGTTTGGACGCGCCAAAGGAAGCCTCCGTAACTGTAGATAACATCAAATCACTCTCTGAGGCAATGTCTGTAGAAAAAATTGCCGCAATTAAAGCAAAACGTTTAGCGAAGAAACGTACAACAATCAAAGGAAACGATGATATAGGTCAAGAATATGATATCAGAGCAATTTTGGATTTAGATGTTGATATAACTAAAGATATCATTAGTCGCGAAAGACAATGGCGAACAAGAACAACCATTTTACAATCAAATGGGAAAAATTTCGCTAAAAATATCTTAGCTTTACTTCATGGGATTAAAGCTCGAGAAGAAGGGAGACAAAGAATGCCTCAACCTCCTCAGCAACAACCCATTACAACGCCACGGTCGACTCCAATGCGCCCCCAAACCCAACCGGCAGTTTACAACCGTTATGATCAAGAAAGATTTAATAAACAACGTGAAGATACCGAAGGTTTTAAAATCGATACAATGGGGACTTACCACGGGATGACTTTGAAATCAGTAACGGAAGGTTCTGCTAAAGCGCGTCCTGTACAAACTCCAAATCCTCCAGCTTTAGCTGTTAATACACCAAGACCACCATCTGGTCAAAAGAAAATTTCTCGAACTCCAATTATTATTATTCCAGCCGGGCCTCCTTCAATGATTACTATGCATAATGTTAAAGATATTCTACAAGATCTTAAGTTTGTTTCAGTTGAACAGAAAAAAAATGACGGTTGTCGTCGGGATAATGAAGTTTTATTGCAAAGAAGAAAAGGCGGAACTACGGTTCCTTATAGAGTTGTTGATAATCCAGCTAAATTAAGTCCAAGCGATTGGGATCGTGTTGTTGCCGTTTTTGTTATGGGCCCAGCTTGGCAATTTAAAGGATATCCATGGGAGAATCCTGTTGAAATTTTTGATAAAAGTATTTTATCTTAGTTGTCTTAAAAAAAATCTTAATAATATTTTTTTAGTTTGTGCTTTTCATTTAAAGTATGACGAAATGAGATTGGACGCTAATGTTGGAAAATGGGCTGTAACTGTAATAGAATTATCAAGGACGAAAAGACATTTAGATAGAGCAGCTTTAATGGTTTTTTGGGAAAAGATGGATAGGTTTATAATGCAACATAAACCTCATTTAAGATTCTAACCGCTTTTATTGAAACAATAATCTTTAAATTAGTTTCACAAATCATAGAATCGTTTCAATTTACTCCGTTTTTTTAATTTAGAGTTTAGGTTCTTTTTTTTTTTAGTTATTTTATTGCGTAAGATTGTTTATAGTGTACTATAGCAAAGTAGGAAATACTTTTATTAATTAATTAAATGTATTAATTCGTCTGATTAAAATAAAAGGTGTTTCATATTAAATTCTTTATAATTGTGTTAATGTACTCTAAAACTTGTCTTCTTATCATCCAATTTTCAAACCAAGTAACAACATCTTCTAAATGTTATTTTTTAAGAACTTTAACTTCATGTAGGTTATTATCCACCTTCGAGGATATAAAATCAACCTTTTTTTAAAAGTTTCTGTTTCTCGGGGGTTTTAATTTACGAAACATTTTATATAATTAAAGTTGAATTAAAAAGTAAGGTTATGGTTGGTTGTCAAACAGGTGTCGGTTGGAGTTCGAACAAAGTAAGGTTATGTTTAAATTGTCAAAAATGTCAACATGAATTTTTAAATTGTTATAAAAAAATATAGAAATATGTTTAAAGTTGTTTAAGAGATAGTAATATTTATTTTCTAATTTTAATTATTTCGTAATTTGTGTTAAAATTTTAATTTTATGTGTAGTTGACGCTTTCAGTAATAGATGGAGCAATTTTAAATTTAAAGTTTAAAAAATAAAACATATAAACCTTGTTTAAGCATTGATAACAACTTTATTTATGGAAATAATATAATTATTATTATATTAAAATGGCGCTTAAAGTATTTCTTCAAATGGTTTTTTTGAAAAGATGGATAGGTTTATAACATAAACCTCATTTAAGATTCTAACCACTTTTATACAGACAATAATCTTTAAATTAGTTTCACAAATCATAGAATCGTTTCAATTTGCTCCTTTTTTTAAAATTTAAAGTTTAGGTTCTTTTTTTTTAGATATTTTATTGAGTAAGATTGTTTATAGTGTACTATAGCAAAGTAGGAAATACTTTTATTAATTAATTCGTCTGATTACAATAAAAGGTGTTTCATATTAAATTATTTATAATTCAAAATCGTCACGAATTCCATTGTACTCTAAAACATGTTTTCTTATCTTCGAACTATCAACCCAAGTAACAAAATCTTCTAAAGTCCTTGTAACTAATAATGCAGGATCTTTAACTAATTCTGGTCCAATTCTAACATGTCCTTGTTCAATTAATTTAATTGCTCCTTTAATATTCTCAGACATTTTATCTTAAATATAAATTTGAATATATTAAATGAATTTTTTGTATTTCTTAAATACGTACTCCTAACCATAACAACGGGTAACCTCCTTCTACAAAAACATGATGCAGTAACCTTTTCTGCTAAACTCAAATCCCATCTCGTTGCAATTAAACCCATTGCATATAATTTTTCTAATAGTTGAGCAGATGCTGTCGTCCTAAACGGGTGTTTTACATCAACTTCCTTAATTTTCCTCGCTAATTCGCGTATATTCCTCGATAATTTATTATATCTACAAAAAAGGAATTAAAAATAATGTTGAGTTTTAACAACATAACCTCACTTTGTGTAATCTTCACGTTTCTTTATATGGTATTTTTTAAGAACTTTTACTTCATGTAGGTTATTATCCACCTTCCAGGATATAAAATCAACCTTTTTTAATAGTTTTTGTTCGTGGTATTTTAATTTTCGAACCATTTTATATTATTTAAGTTGAATGAAAAAACAAAAAAGTAAGGTTATGTTTAGATTGTCAAAAACGTCAACATCAAAACATGAATTTTTAAATTGTTATGAAAAAAGTATATAAAAAAATATAGAAATATGATTAAAGTTGTTTAAAAGAGAGTAATTTATTTTATAATTTTAATAATTTCGAAATTTGCTTTAAAATTTTAATTTGATGTGTAGTTGATGGTTTCACTAATAGATGGAGGAATTTTCAATTTGTAAATTTAAATTTAAAGTTTAAAATAATAAAAAAATAAAAATTAAACTTGTTTAAGTACTGATAACAACTTTATTTATGGAATTAATATAATTATTATTATATAAAAATGACGCTTAAAGTATTTCTTCACTTAATTCATTAACTTAAATTACTTAAAATTAAAAAATATATTATAATACCATTTATTTTTGTATTTTGTCTCATCGAAAAGTTCTTAATATACCAAACAAATTCCACAATCAGCACGTGTTGGCTGTTGTTTCAATTAGGATGTCGCAATAACGTGCAAATTTTTTTTTAGAGTTGAGAGACAATCCGCATGATTAGCCAGTGATAGGTTTTCTCTCGTCTAGTCGAGATGAGAAAGCACAGTTTGGTCAGTTTGACTATGGTTAGATGGGCTACAAGCGAAGCTGACATACGTATTTATGACCCTGATGAAGATACAAGAGATGATGATTCTTTATACGGTTAGAAAATAAAAAAAAATCGTTTTATTTGTCTGTGATTGTTACAACATTAATATCGTTTTTGTTTATTTTGAGTTTGTTAATAACATAATTTATGTAATATAATAATTTCTTTATAAATTAAAGTTCCAAATACATAATTTGTGTGGCTGAAATTGCGCCACATAAAGCTAAAACACTGGCAACGCTGACAACTGCTGTTGTGGTACCAGAAATGTTAACAATAGTTCCCATACAAATCGAGAGGATGAATTGTGCCAAAAAAACCATGCTCGAAACGATTGCTACATCGGTTCCTAACCCACGAATTTGATTTAGAACTTTTTCGTTTCCCTCTGAAGAAAGCTCAAACTAAATAATGAACAAAAAGAGTCAAATAAAAATAAATTTGGTTATTTTAATCAATCTTACAACTCCCTTATGATGATAATGTGCTATTAATAAATACGGCATGGTAAATAAAGTTGAATACATTACGCCAGCAGTCCAACTGAAGAGGATTACACTGATTTTATGCTGTGTCAAGGCCATAAGTAACATTCCGGTCGAGTAAAAAAGTAACCCGCAAACGTAAACTTTTTTAGCTCTGAAAATTAAATTCTTAAACAACAATTTTGATGTAAAATAAAAACTAACCCAAATCTATTAATTAATTTTTCGATAATACTCGAATAACAAGCACAAGATAAAGAGTACATAGACATTCCCCAACAACCAAATCGAACTCCCTCTTCGTAAAGTATTCTTTTTGAACTTCCGGGAAAAGCCTAAAAAGTTACATAAATTTAAAAAAATTAATTTTAAGGGAATTATCTATATCTTATTGTATGTACATCAAAAAATGATTTTTAACTCAAAAATTAAAAACTATTGGTGAGAATAATATTAATAAAAATTGTTTATAATGAATCATATAAACATATTCCAAAAACTATTTAATTCCAATTGTTTTACATTTATAGTTATGATCTATAAAATCCCGAAATCTCCAAATTGACGTTTTTTGAATTTCTTTTTATAACTTGAAAATTAAAAATAGTGGAAGAAAATTTTGCTGATGAAAATTGTTTGTAAGTAATCAATAAAAAAGTTTCCTTAAGCGGTTATAATCTATCTGTGACTATTACCAACCTGGCGGATTAAAAATCCCAAACATTTCATAACAAAATGGGTTTTAACTCAAAAATTAAAAAGTATGAGTGAGAATAATATTAATAAAAATTGTTTATAATGAATCATATAAACATAATCCAAAAACTGTTTAACTCCAATTGTTTTACATTTGTAGTTATAAACCATAAAATTCCAAAATCTCCAAATTGACGTTTTTGGAAATTTTTTTTATAACTTGAAAATTAAAAATGGTAGAAGAAAATTTTGCGGGTAAAAATTGTTTGTAATTAATCAATAAACAAGTTTTCATAAGCGGTTATTATCTAACTGTGACTATTACCAACCTGGCGGATTCAAAATCCCAAACATTTCAAATTTGAGGCATTTCATAACAAGATGGGTTTTAACTCAAAAATTAAAAAGTATGGGTGAGAATAATATTAATAAAAATTGTTTATAATGAATCACAAAACCATAATCAATAAATGATTTCGTTACAACTATTTCGTATTTTTAGATATAAGCCATTAATAACAAAAATAACAATTAATAACAAACAAACAACAAACCTATCGTCTATTTTGATGTAGTATTAAACAAAATAGTTGCAAAAATATCAAACTTACCATTGGATCTCCTTTAAAAACGGCTTCACCAACAAAATCAGTAAAATATAAAGAATAACAAACATGAGCCATCCAACAAAATAAATTGGTGACGCATAAAATTTTTAATGAATTTGGCATAATAAATATGCTTCTTAAATAAATGATAAATGAAGCACCCGGAGGTGGAGCTAAACTAGATTTACGTCGATCATTCTGGTTTGGTTCTTCCTAAAAATAATTAAATAAAATAATTTTTTTTTAAATTGTTTTATGTACTTGTAATGTTCCATAAGTATTTTGTACTTGAAGCTCTTGAAACTCGATACTCTCACCGAGTTCATTATCGGTTTTGAATTTTTGTACGTCTTCCTGCATCTCGTCGTAAAATTCGAGGAGATTCAACGGGATTTCTTTGAAACTTGTCACCGTATAAGCGACGCACACCAAAAATATACCCGTTATTAAAGTAAAAACTGCTTTTACGTGTCCTCCAAGTAATATTCCAAGTTTTGTCGCATCCCAATTAATTCCACCCAAAGCGTAACCAAAAAATCCACCTAAACCTGCCATTATAGTGAATGTACTTAATCCTCTTGCGTGATCACCTAAATTAATAAATCAAATGATTTATTTAATAATTTTATTTGTTTTACCTGGGATTGTAACATCTAAGAGATAAGCTCTTGACGGACTTTGACAAGCATCGGCATCGAAATCGAGAAGAACCGTTCCTAACACTGTAAAAAATATCCCCCATGGGTGTGAATTATTATAAACGTACGCATTATTTAAGGTTTGATTAAAAGAATTCGATGAAGCTGACGTTCTATGAGATAAAATCGTATTTTTTTGAATTATTTCAATATCTGGTGGTTTTGAATCACCAAAACTGTATCCCATATTTTCACCATTAGGAACAAGAAGTAATCCTTTAAAAAAGATTATTAATTAAATATTTTAGAAACATGATACACCACCTAATAAAACCCCAATAGACATAGCAATTATAAACGGTCTTCTTCTGCCGAGTTTCAACGAACATCGGTCACTTAAAGAACCGAGAATTGGGGTGACGAAGAAACCAATTAACGGAGACAAAGCCCAAACTAATGTCATGTGTTTGTGTTCAACGCCGATCTTTAATAATGTCGGTGAAACGAATGCTGTTTCAGCAGCATAAGAAAATTCAATTCCCATAACTGCAGCTGAAATTCTTATTAATTCTTTGCGAGATTTTGAACTAAAATATTAAAGAGATTTTTTTTCTAATTAAAGATTTATAACAAAAATTTTACCGATAAATATGCGAATAATCTTCATTTTGATCTTCACTTTCTTGATTCTTTCTTTTTAATCTTTCTTTAACGTTAAACCCACCGTCTTGTTGAAATTCTTGCCATTTCTCTTTAAATTCATCTTTAAATCGATGAAACCGTCCCAAACAACCCTCGTATTCATACAATTTTTCAGCCATAATTTAAAAATTTCTTTACATTATTTTCTAAACTGTTTATTTAGGGCACAAAAAACACTTGTTGGAACGACGTCTTGGTTGATACTAGCGCAGGAGAATCCCTGTCGAGGACATAGTGTCCTGCGCAATTTCCGCCCTTAACGGAAACTCTTGTACAAATTAAACTCGGGGGAGAAACACAGATTTGAGCTTAAATAAATTAAAGGAAAAAGGGAAAGAAGTAATAAAGGTTTAAAAATAAGATTTTTTTTTCTTATTATTGTTTTTTTTTCTTTATTTTGTGGGGTGTGTTTAATTTTAAACCTAAACATTGCGAACCCAGTTGCTTTTAAACTCCACACGACCCTGTTAATCCTCTTACGTTTTGTGTGGCTTCGCTATTTTCTGAAAGAGACTCGTTCGTGTAAAAATTAGATAAAAATATACGTCGAAAAGAACCTCTTTACGTCAAACATTTTTTATTATCATTACTTAAATAAATAAACATTATTTAAAAGGCTGAGTGAAAACTCATTTACATAAATTAACATAGAAATTTGAGAAAATAACTCGACATAACTTTTAAAAATCAAATTTTAGCTTTTTAAAATTCTCTATAAAATAAAGTAGTAATCCTGGAAGCTAATNATTTGTAGTTATAAACCATAAAATTCCAAAATCTCCAAATTGACGTTTTTGGAATTTCTTGTTATAACTTGAAAATTAAAGATAGTGGAAGAAAATTTTGAGGGTGAAATGTGTTTGTAATTAATCAATAAAAAGGTTTCCTTAAACGGTTATAACCCATTTGTGACTATTACCAACCTGGCGGATTCAAAATCCCAAACATTTTAAATTTGAGGAATTTTATAATAAAATGGGTTTTAACTCAAAAATTCAAAAGTATGGGTGAGAATAATATTAATAAAAATTGTTTATAATGAATCATATAAACATAATCCAAAAACTATTTAACTCCAATTGTTTTACATTTGTAGTTATAAACCATAAAATTCCAAAATCTCCAAATTGACGTTTTTGGAAATTTTTTTTATAACTTGAAAATTAAAAATGGTAGAAGAAAATTTTGCGGGTAAAAATTGTTTGTAATTAATCAATAAACAAGTTT